CCAGGTAGTCACCTGCTGTAATCAGGCTGGTGTTCCAACTGCCTGCCCCCATACAGGCTTCTTCTCACTACCATACGTTAGTTTATACTAAGCCCTGCTTCAAATCACCTCTCCCTTCCTTCTACCCAGCCCCAACCCAACTTCTTCCTACCAACTCCTTCTGCCTTCCCTGGCCCCCCAGATCAGTCCCTCCCTTCTGGTCTTCACACCCCACGCTCTTTTTCACAACAAGAGTCAGGGATACGGGAAAGCCTGGCTTTGAGAGCCTGATCTACCAATAACTTGTGGTGACATTTCTCTTTGGGGGCCTCAGACTTCTCCTCTGTAAAGTGGGTAAACAAATGATGCCTACATCAAATAGGCTCTAGTGGGAATTTCATGACATGGTGGATGTGACTGTGTAGACCTTATAAGGATGTACATGTGGGAACAGATGACACTACTGATATTTTTATTATTTATCTGGAGATGAGGAACTCACCAAGATTCTGCTTGTTTTTCAAAGATAAGCCTAAATCACCCTGATAAGAATGTTGGAAAGCTCTCGGTCTCTCTCCAGCTTCTCCTCTTTCCTTCCTTGGGCAGCACCTGGCTCCACTGTGGTGTCCTTCCCAGGCCACTCTCCCATGGCAAGAACAAGGCCAAAAGAAATACCACGGGAGCCACCTTATATAATTCTAAATTTTCTTTTTTTTTTTTTTAGTTGTTTACAGACCTTTATTTATTTGTATGTGGTGTTGAGAATCAAACCCAGTGCTCCACCACTGAGCCACAACCCTAGCCCCTAATTCTAAATTTTCTAACAGCCACACTCAAAAGTGAAAGAAATTAATGTTAATAACATTATTCTATAGTATATAGAATAATATCTAAAATATTCTAATTTGGGCATATAACCAATATAAAAAAAATAATGAAGTCTTTTCCATTGTTGACACTAAGTCCTCAAGATATAATGAGTATTTTACAATTAGGACATATCTCAATTTGAACTTTCCATATTTTAGGTGCTTAGCAGCCAGATGTGGCTCTAAGGTATAAGTGAATAGGTCCAGGTGTCTCACCCGAAGAAAATTTCAATGGTGAGATTTCAGGCCCCTTCAAATTATACTACTGGGGCTGGGGATGTGGCTCAGTGGTAGAGCACTTGCCCAGCATGTGTGAGGCACTGGGTTTGATTCTTAGCATTGCATATAAATAAATAAAATAAAGGTTCATTAACAACTAAAAAAAAAAATCATACTAGTAAGATGTCTCCTGACTCTGCCCGTCCTGACCAGGGCAGCTAACTGACTCAGAGGATTTAGTGGAGAAAGCATGAGTTTCCTACCTACAAGCTGGAGCTCAGGTCTTAGTTCTGCTGCTTTCAAAATGTGTGTTGTTGAACAAGTCACCTAATCTCAGAGCTTGTTTGGTCACATGTGAAGAAGTGTCCAGCTCCTTCGGCAGGTCTCAGAGAAGGTGGAGCAGGTTTATGCACATGAAGCCCTTGGTCCACATCCCTGTGGCCTGAATCTCAGTTCTGCTAGCCCCTGGGGTGCTCTGGGAACCCTTTGCTGGTCTCTGAACATCACAGTGCTAGAGCTCCCTCCCAGCATGTGCATCTCCTCTTGATGTTCTCATTATTCTTCCAAGAACCTGGCAATGCTGGCTGGAGCTGTCTCTTATACTCCTTCTTTTAATGGGAATTTGTCTGATGCTAACTGTTTTGCCCCAGGCCCTGTGCTAGGAACCAGGGTTTCAACAGAGAACAAGATAAACATGATTTTTGCTTTTACAGTGCTCAGAGTCCAGCAGGGAAGATAGACACAGAGCAAGGTTTGACCCAGACCTAAGTGTATATAAAATAGATATTTTTTTTTTTGGTTCTATACTGGGTATTGAACCCAGGGGTGCTCTACCACTGAGCTGCATCTCTAACCCTTTTTCTTTTTTATTTTGAGTTTCCCAGGCTGCCCTCAAACTTGCTGTTCTTCTGCCTCAGCCTCCCGAGTCACAGATTATAGGGTGCTACTGCGCATAGTGATAAGCAGATATTATTTATTTTCTCTAAGAATCAACATAACTTCTACTCTAAAGGCCTATACTGCCAGATCCGCCAAAAACTAAACCTCAGCCCTTCTCAAGGATCTCCCACCAAGTTGAAGCAAAGTTCCTGAGGTTTTTAGTGCCCAGGCTCCAGGTGGGCCCCACACCACCCATGTCACTACAGCCATGCCCACCTGCCATCTTGACCCATATGGGAGCAGAGGAGTCTTGTGTGGCTAGGACCACAGGGGCCCAACTTCCCTAGGGCATCCTGTAGCCTGGTATTCAGAGGTGACCTGCCTCCCTGGGCCTCATCTCTGAGGGTGGCTCCCCACTTCTTACAGAACCCACAGAGGGCTCAGTGTCTGTCCCAGCCTGGTTTCCAGAGTTTTGTTGCAGAGAATGTCATTCCCTTCTGCTCACTCTCCCAGGCCTCCCTCTCCTCACACCCCCTGCCTCAACCCACAGAATTCTCCCAATGGCCTCAAGCTTTGAAAACAAAAGCTAGGAGGGAAAACCTGGCAACTCATTAGTGCTCTCTGCCTTGCCACAAAAGTCCCCTGAGGCCAGGAAACTCAAAGCCTGCTCCCTGCTGGAATGAAAGAAGGGAGGAGCCAGGGAAACCCCAGGGGAGAGGGACACAAGGAATGAAGGTTTGAATGAATCGCCCTGCAGGGACAGGACAGGCTTTTAGCAGCCAGCCCAGGGAGCAAGGCGAGATGAGGATGAGGATGATGCGTGGTCGCCCCTACAGGGATTCTGAAATGTGGGGAGATCCAGCATTTGCCTCATGAGGTCCATAAAAATACAGAGAAGAAGAAAGATGTCAGACCCTGACAAAGGGTGGCCAGGTCTGTAGGGAACTCAGGGAGACAAGAGGGAAAACCTGAGGAGCCCAGCCCACCCGCCTGATGGCACCCAGCCTCCTGGACCACACTCCTAGTTATGGAGAGCTGACTGGCTCCCAGGGCAGCCTCTTCCAAATTATTCTTTACCGTGGACTTACATAGTCTTCCATAGAACTGGTTCCTTCTCATTCTGAGCTCAGGCTGCATAGCGGAATGTATGAAATCAGACCCCATTTGGTCACTTAGACATTCGAATGACCCTGTATCAGTACCAACTTCTCCAAGACTTAGTTTCCTCATCTAAAAAGTGCGCACAGAGATAGCACCTGCCTCACAGTGTTTGGGTTGGGATGCAGGAGAATTACCCAGGCCTCAGCGGCCTCGGCTGCCTCCCTCCTATAGGCTGTAGCAGCTCAGAGCCCAGACTCTGGAGTGGAGCTGTCTGTCCAGGTTTGACATTAGGTGGGCCACTTTCTAGTTGTGTGACTTGAGGAAAGTTACTTCATCTCTGTGTCTGTTTGGTCATGTGAATAAAAGGGACTGCATCTACTTCGAAAGCTGTTGGGGAGGGCACCGTGAGTTCTATGCGAGTCCTTAAAACTGTGTAGTCGGTGCATGGAGCAAGCACGTCATAGGCATTAACCACCGTTTATTATTATTTCCTTCCAAAATGGTGATTGTGCCCACCCACACAAGCCTTCTCTTCCCCGGACCTCTCCTTCAGGAGTTGCATGGAGGCCATCCTTGTCCAGGTTGAGGCTCCTTCTCCGTGGTGTCCGTGGGCATCCTCACAGCCTTGGCCCAGAGCTGAGCACATCCTCCAGGGGTGGCTTGACTCTTCCCAGGGAGGAAAGGGGGCTGTTTTCTCTTGTCCTAACTCTCCAGCTCCCATTCTGCCCCAGAAGACGTTAAAGAACAGGATGGGCCCGTAGACCCACACCATCCCCACCTCATGGTAGCCCAGCTCACTGGAGGCACTTGCTCCTGGTGACTGTCCAGGTGATGACAGTCATGAATGACATAATAACTGAAGAGAGAGATATGGTTGTCATCATGTTGGTGAAGCTGATGGTGGTGGGAGTGGAAAAGATTTTAATGGTGACAGCAACACAGATGATGGTGGTGTTGGGGTAGCTGTGACACCATTGATGGCAACAGTAGGAGTGACATTAATAATGATGTGAGGAATGGAGATAATTGGTGGTGAGAGTAGTGATGATGACAGGATCATGAGTTGACGGTGTTCCTGGTGACATTGGTGGTGATATGGTGGTGGTGATGAAGATGAGGTTGGTGACACTGATACTGGGTGAAGACCCTGGCAAAGATAATGATGGTGTTCAAGACAGTGATCATGTTCTTGATGATTCTGATAATCATATTGGTTCAGATGACAGTGATAACAATCCCAATTGTTGTGCTGGTGATGGTGGGAACTATGACAGAGACAATGCTAGTAATAATCATGTTGTGATGATAGTATCGTTGCGAATCAACTGGTCATGTATTCAGGATATTGGAGATATGATTTGGGACGATTTTTAAGGTAACAGGAATAATACTGATGATGATAGTTACGGTGGTAATTTTCATGGTCGAGTTGGTGACTATTAATATGCTAATGATGGGGATGACAAAGTTTAGCTATAGGAATTTCATTGTTCTCTCCTTTTATATATATCTAAATCTATGTATCTATATCCATATCAGGGTTTGAATCCAAGGACATTTAACCACTGAGCCATACCCCCAGCCCTTTTTAATATTTTATTAGTATTCATATTTTATTATTATTTTAGAAACAAGGTCTTTGTAAATTGCTTAGAGCCTCACTAATTTGCTGAGGTTGGCTTTGAACTTACAAAGCTCCTGCCTCAGCCTCCCAAACCACAGGGATCACAGATGTGTGCCAACCACCCTGCCATTATTCCCTCTTTTAAAACCCTCTGTTGAGTACCTATAGGGCCAAGAACAAATGGAACACTGTTGGCCTCCATTGTGTCTGATGAAGTGACAGAGCTTCCCCTCTCCCCACCCTTCCACAGAGCTTCCTTGAGTCCAAAGCCATCTCTGGGTAGGATCTCTGGCATCCAGCTGACTACCCTTGATTGTATGTTTCCCCAGGGTGAGAACTCTCCCTCTGAGCAGAACCCTGGGGAGTCCCTGAAGAAGCAGGATGACCTAGTCCAGATTGCACCAAACCTGTCTGTGATCAAGTTCATCAAAGGTGAGTTCATCAAGTTCATCAAGTTCAGGCCAGGTGCTGGGGAGGCAGGGCCAGAGGACCATGCATGACCCAACCCCTACCTGCCTTTCTCGATTCACCTTCTATTCCTGCAGGCCTGTCATGAGCACCACACATTCCTTCTGAGTCTTGGCTGGGAACATCTTGTGAGTCTCTGCTCTCTGCCCAGAACATCTGCTTTTATTGCTGTCTGTCAAAATCTTTCTTGTCCCTCTAGGTCAAGCTCAAGAGCCACTCTTTGCTTCAGCATGCCTGGCTCTCTAGCAAGCAAGGCTGCTTCCCTCCCTCCTTTGGGCTCTCAGAACCCTCAGAGCTTCTGTATCAGCTCAGATCTGTGCCATGTACTTATCCAGCCCTTCCCCTAAGTGAGGAGTCTCTGAAGGTCAAGGCCTGAGCTCTTCCTCTCCCACCCACCAATGAGCCTGCAAACAGGGCCTCAGTAAATACTTGTTAAAGTCCTAGGCTGTGGCATAGATGAGGGGGCTCTGGGCTGAGATCTAGAGTCCTGAGCTTTTATTCTGGGTCCTTGCTTCTCTCTGGGCTTCAATTTCCTCCATGCAATTTCTCAATACAGTAAGACTCAGACTCAATGAGATAAGAATAATGTAGCTTGGATCAATCCCGTCACCAGAGTCCACAAGAGACCAGGCAGTCCTTTCTAAAGAGTCCAATCCCATGAACACTGATTGAGTGCCTGCTGTGTGGCAGGCTCTGGGAGAGCCCTGGATGGCAAGTCAGACAACCTGGACTTGAGGCCGGCCCACCACACTAGCCAGTGTACAGTCTGGTAGAGTTCCTTTCCTTCCCTGAGTTTCCTCATCTGAAAGATTGGGTCAGTAATCTTTGCCACTCTCGAGGATGATAGCCCTAATCAAATGGGATGATAAATGGAAAGTCCCTATACATTGTTTTTAAAACTATACTTCCAAAAGGAACAATTCTTCCCATCACCACTCCTACCCTATAATTCTTATTACGACCGTAAATGGAGCTGCCTGTGGTTCAGGATGGTGTCATTCATAATCCCTCACTGGGGACTTTTCAACAGGGAAGAATTAGGCCCAATCCTTGGGAAGAGCTTCTTAAGACTCGACGTTGGGGGTATTAGTAATCTAGCCCCCCATCCCCCAGCCCTGATCTCCAGCACTCCCAGGGAAAGGGATGCCTGGACTCCATAAGGTTGAGCCTTGAGGCAGGGGCCTGGACTCCTTAACCTCAGGTCATCCCCAGCTGCTGGAAGCCCTCAGCACACTGCACCATGGAAGAGCTTATTAATCACTGCTTTGGCTCCTGCCCAGAGGGAAGTTGGAGCCAGTTGCTGAAATTGAATCCTAGAGTTGGGGTTCTAGGCCAGCTTGTCTCTGGTAGTTTAAGCTTCTACATGAGCCTGCAGGAGACCATGACAGGGCTGACCATGGGCCCTGTGGCCAGTTAGCCAGCCTGGTTTCTGGGCTTCTACTGAGCTCCACAGGGGCCAGGCTGACTCACAGCCTGGCCTTGACCACCTGGAATCATGGGGGATGTCTGATGGAGGATACGAGGTTCCTGAGCTGGGGGAGGCTAATGAGGGAGACTGACTAATGAGGGAGACATTGTCCTTGGGTTAAAGAAAGCCCCTGGCCCATGGGATCGGTCCTAAACTGAGTGGGCCTGTCCTATTTGAGGCAGGTACAGGCCTCTGAGTTGAGAGAGGCCCCTGGCTTTGTCACCGAGTGACTGTCTGCCCTGGTGTGTCTGATGGTGGAGACCATGTGCTGAGCTGAGGGAAGCCCTGTCTTTTCAGGAAGGCTTGCCTTTGAGCCGGAGGCAGGCCCTAGAATTCCCTTTCAGGTAGTGCTGAGTGAAAGGCACAGCCTTGTCCTCCAGGAATTTTCCATCTGTTCTGGAGAAGGCTGTGGGTTCTGAGATGGAGGATGTGCCTATAGTTCACTGCAGTGATTAGTGCAAGAAACCATCAGTGGATGGAACTCTCTGAAGTCAGGCTGCCAGAGAGGCTAGGAGTGGACTGGGAGGGAGGAGGGGATCCAGGGAGAATGGCACTGCAGTAGGAGTCAGGGGACTCTGGGGAATTCCTGGCCTTGGTTTGGTTGAACCTGGGCCTGGGCGTGTCCCTGCTCCTTGCTGGGCCCCACCTTGCAGTGAAGGTATAACTTGAGTCTGTATAACTTGGGTCAAGCCATAGCAAAAATCCCCTGGCACATACAGGACCTCAGATGCCCTAGCCAGGCAGCTCACAGGAGGGAGGGAGAGAGGCCCAGCAGTCTCCTGGGGTGAAGGCCAGGCCATGCTGCTGCACTGCAAGTACTGGCTGGATGGGCTTTGCGCAGAGGGGGAATTCCATAGCCCCAGCCCCCTCCCACCCCACCTGGACCATCTCTCTTTATTTCCTGGCTTCTAAGGAAACAGCTCCTCTCCCTACCCAAGGCACTAGGGCACCAGCTGGCTTGGCCCCGCAGCCTGGCAAATGCTCTGCTTCTCTTCCTCCCTCACCCCTGTCTAACTTCAGTCTTGCCTGCTGCAGGTAGAAACACGGCTCTCCCTGTTTTGCTGAGAGTGGAGAGCGGGTGGCACATGTGAACACAGAAAGTGCCTTTGGACGTTCCCTGGGCTGCCCCTATTGATGAGGGCACTGGACCTCAGAGGGCAAGGGACTTATCCATCCCCGTGTTCCACGCAGGTTAGCAGACCTGCAATGAGGCAAAGCACTGTTTTAGGGACAGGAGATGGGGGTGGAAGAGTCATCAGTGCCCCAGCGGCCGCCTCTGTTCCATACTCCAAGCTTGGGCCATGCTGGGCTTCTACAGAATTCTTTTTCCTTCAGAGTCTGCCTCTCCAGGACCCCTCTAGGTTTGTCCCAACTCCAGGAAGCCTCCCAGTACTAGGCCTTCTAGGGTTTCACCTTCTCTAGAGGCCTTAGATTCAGCCCCAGACATTTTGATATTTGAACACATATTTGTCGTCATTCCTTCATTTCTTCATTCATTCTTCATTTGTGTATTGAGTGCCTCCTGTGCCCCTGCTCTGGAGGTTCAGTGATTAACACAACAGTCTAGAAAACAAAACAAAACAACAACAACAACAATAAAAACCTGATCTTAAAAAAAAACAGGTTGGGAAGACAATAAAACAGTTAAATGAAGAAAATGTGTAATCTGTTAGGCAAAATGTTCTGGAGAAACTAGGGATGCAGGCTTGGGTTGGGGACCCAGGAGGGAGGACTAGGTCTGGGTCAGTTTGGAAAGAGCTATAGCAGGACAGGATGGAAGGGGCCTAGCTGGGGAAAAGGGATGATTAAGTAGAATTGAAAGAATGAAATGGAATCAGATGGAGTTAATAATGAAATGGAATCTAAAGGGATGGCATGGACCAGAACTGTACAGAACTAAATAGAATTTAATGGAAATGAACACGTTGGATAATATGCAGTCTAACTCAATGGCATGGAAGGAATGAAACAGAATTTCAAAACTGGAATAGAATTACACGGAATGGAGTCAAATGCAATAGATCAGAAATGAATGCAAAATAATTAAATGGAATGGGATGGGCGGAAGGAATGGAAAGGAACAGAATGGCTTGAACTGAACAGGAGGGGATGGACAGGCACGGGGTGTGGAGAGCCGGCCTGCCCATGCCCACCTCTTTCCCACTTACCCAACAGTCTTCCCCAGGGTGCTGCTGCGGACGCTGCGCCACCCCATCTTCCTGCTGGTGGTCCTGTCCCAGGTGTGCATGTCGTGCATGGTGGCGGGCATGGCCACCTTCCTGCCTAAGTTCCTGGAGCGCCAGTTTTCCATCACAGCCTCCTATGCCAACCTGCTCATTGGGGGCCTCACCATCCCCTCAGCCATCGTGGGCATTGTGGTGGGGGGCGTCCTGGTCAAGCGCCTCCACCTGAGCCCCATGCGCTGTGGTGCCCTTTGCCTGCTGGGGTCGCTGCTCTGCCTGCTCTTCAACCTGCCCCTCTTCTTCATTGGCTGTTCTACCCACCAGATTGCAGGCATCATCCACCAGCCCAGGTGTGTGTGTGGGGGGGGGTGAGGGCCAGCAAGGGGAGGCTGGGACGGGGAGGGCAGTGGACCTGGCAGAAGCCAGATCAGTGGGGCATCCCTTACCTTACTCTCACTTCCCTGTAGCTCCGTCTCTCCACCTCTGCCCCAGAATCCTCCATTCCAGCCCCTCCCTCAGCTAAAGGTTCAGGCACAGGACATTCTCTGTGGAAGGCCCCAGGGAAGGCAGCAGGCACCATTAAAAGGGGCCCAGATGGAACTTCAAGGGCAGGGAAGCTCAGGCCTGGAGAGGGCTGCAGGCTGAGTTGGGGCAAAACCACTGGTGCAATGGCATCTCCAGAGTGGCCGCGCCCTGCAGGGCCAGCATAAGTGAATGAAGGCTATGTCATAAGAGGTAGGACCTGGCTCAACCAGAGGAAAGCTTTTGCTCCCAGCCAGAGGTTAGAGCCTGCCCAGAGGGAGCAAGGCCCTGCCCTTGGGCTAAGATGGGAGAGAAGTTGAGGGTCAATGGCCCCTACCAAGGATGCTGTCAAAGGGACTTATGCATGGAAAGGCTAGAAGTCTCTGAGATTCTTGGTTCTTAGATCCTGGGAACTACAATTCTGTTGTCCCATGATCCTAGCATTGCAGAAGTCTTTGTCCAAGTCTGTGGGGCAGCACTGCCCCCTCCTCCACAGTAAGGTCCTTGATGCCTATGCCCCTCCCACTTCTTCCCACACCCCCACTCCCTCCTACTTCCTCCCCCTCCCACATCACATGTACCCGCCTCCCCTTGGGAGCCTTCTTGGAGAGGTTGTTGGAAGTTCCACTCCGGCCTCTGTCCCAGAATGATCTCATTTTTCCTGGAAACTGCTCCAGGCTTAGGTTGGCCCAGCACCCAGCAAGAAATCCCCACCTCCCCTGCCCGCCTCCTGCTTGGCATCTCCTTCCTGCACCCAGGTGCCAGCCTTCCTCACCTGGGGCTTCTTCCACTTGGTTGCAGCTACAGGGGCCCTTGCTCAGGGCCAAGGGATCCCAGGTCCCATCCTTGGGCTTCTCTCCCTCCCCTTCCTTCTCTCCTTTCTTTTCTCATACAGAACAGTGAGGCAGCTCAGCTGTCTGGCGTGGGCCTTGAGTGTGCAGAGCCCAGTCTGGTCACTGCAGCCAGGGAAACCCTGTGGGAAACCCCTCGATGGAGGAGGGACCCAGTTCCTTTCAATGATTTCCTTTATAGCAAAAAGTAAATGTTTTAATATTTAAATGAATATTTTTATCACAATTTTTTTAAGTAACTGGGGAAAGTCAGCCCTTCCCTCCTGCCCTCTCTCCCTCCTTCTCCTCTCCCTCCTTGGCTTTGACATCTGATCTCACCAGAGTTCTCATCAACATTCTTGCAATTTAGTCACCAAGTTTTGGGTTCTAAGTCATTGAAGAAGCTTTTAGGGACCAACTGAGCAAGTCAAACTTCTCATGTTTTTTTGTTTTGGGTACTGGGACTTGAACCCAGGGGCACTTAACCACTGAGCCACATCCATTTGAGACAGGGTTTTGCTAAGTTGTTCAGGACCTCACTAAGTTGCTAAGTTGCTGAGGCTGGCCTCAAACTTGCAATCCTCCTGCCTCAGCCTCCCAAGCTGCTGGGATTATAGATGTGCACCATTGCACATGACTCACAAGAGGCAGGAACAGCTCCCAAGAGTCAAGGGTCTCTCACTCAACCCAGCAGTGGGCCCCCATATTATCCATTTTAGTGAGACTCAGAGCAGCAAGATCACCCAGCCAGCTGGGAGGAGGCAAAACCTGGGCCAGCACTCTCCCCACAGAAGCAATGAGATCCAAGGAGAGAGGTGGAACTGAGGAAGCCCCCACCCCCACCAGCTCTCACCTGCTCAGCCTTCCAGCTGCTGGCCGATGGCTCTGGGAAGTGCCTCCCCCTAGGCAGATTCCCATAGGCACAGTCTCCTGAGGAGTCCTTGGCTTGGCTCAGGATAGCACCAACCTGTGTCCCCTCCCAAAGGAGCCATGCCAGGATGGGAGCAGGCCTGTGGGACAGGGAGGAGAAGGAAAGGGCTGTGCTGGTGATGCCCCCCATCCCCCGGGGCTCAGGGGAGACTCCCACCTAAGGGAGGGAGAAGCTCACCTCTGCCCTGATAGCACCTCCCTGCCCCCCCCCCCAGGTTTCCAGAGGCCCATCTCAGTCATTGTTCCTCTCCTGGCCTCCCCAGCCCTGTCAGTTCCTCTTCTTCATGGAACTGAGATTTTGCTAAACTTGTCAGACCTGCCATCAGCCTGGGTCTCTGCCCCACTCCCTCCCCAAACCCAAGGTGGGGACCTCCAGCCTTCCCTTTGCTTCCCTCCTCTGCAGCCTGGCCGATGCTGGCCTCCTGTGTGACCCTGTACAAAGCATCAGCCTCTCTGGGCTTCTTTCTCCTGCCAGGTGTGCTATGCTCCCTCCTAGCATGAAGCCAGACCATAGCCTGCATCCCAGGGAGACATCTCCCTGTCCTTGTCCCAGAGTGATCTGCCCCCGTGGACTCAGCCTTTCTCTCACCTCCTGCCCCTGTATACCCCAACCTTGTCCTGACTCCCTGGAGTAGGGACATCCCTGAGATTTGGTAGCAGGCCCTCAGGAGGGAGGCAGTGGGGCTGGGCGCAGTGATCAGGACAATAGAGTGAGCAGCGAGGTCATGAGACTGGGAGGGTGACAGGCAGGAAGGAGCCCTGGCCCCGCTGACAGACAGGAAAACTGAGGCCCAGAGCGAGGCAGGAGCATTGGAGATCCCACAGCTGGTCAAATCTCCCATGAGTCCCCCTGTATAGCTGTCATTTTCTGAGAATAAGAAGCTACCCACCTCCCAGCGAGAATGGCCCCTTGATCCAACACTAAGTTCTAGAAGGAACTCCCTTGCGTTCCCTAGGGAAGGGCCCCTGAGGAGCAGAGATATTTCCTTAGGATTGAGGGCAGATAAGAGGTTCCACGGCTTCCAGCCCAGACTCCCCCCTTCTCCTGTCAGGAGACCTCAAGAACTTTTACCCTTCTCCCCGCTCCCATGCCCTCGCTGCGGGAGCTCACCACGGCCCCTCTACAGGGTCACCCAACAGCAAGAAACCCCAGCCACAGCTCCCAGGGAGCTGCCAGGGTGGCTCCAGCTCGTGGCCCGAGGGAGGAGAGCTGGACCAACCTTGCCGTCTGTCCTTCTCCCCCATCAGCACGCAGCCCGGGCTGGAGCTGTTTCCAGGCTGTGCGGAGCCCTGCTCCTGCCCGTCGGACGACTTTAACCCTGTCTGCGACCCCAGCACCCGAGTGGAGTACATCACGCCCTGCCACGCCGGCTGCACAAGCCAAGTGGCCCAGGAGGGCCTGGACAAAAGCCAGGTGAGGCAGCGTCTGGCACAACTGTGCCCCTCGGGGCCTCTACCCTTTGCATCTCTGCAGACCTGTCCCTGCTCCTCTGAACCCTCCCATTCTATTGGAGCTCTGCCTCTGTCTCTTTCTCCTTCTGTTGGCAGATGTAGAACATTATTCTCTCAATAAGCTTACAGCACGGCCTGGCCCCGGGAGGTGGGTCAGTTCTGGCCCCCAGCTCTCTGTTTGGGGAGGTTGCAAAAGAAAAGAGCCCACAGGAATTCCAGGGGTGCTGATGGGCAGAATGGTCCCTGCAGTTCCTGCAAGGATGGAAGGAAACACCACCCACTCCAGTGGGTCCCAGAGGGCTCCAAGGGCCCTGCATTTGTGCCAGACCTTTAAGGATGCATGGGAAAACTGGAACTTGGGCGGGAAGGGCTTTCCAGGTCAGGGAACAGCATATGTAAAGATTTGGGCTGGTGCAGTGGGACATGCCTGTCATCGCAGCTACTCAGGAAGCCAAGGCAGGAGGATTGCAAGTTTGAGGCCAACCCAGGAATCTTAATGAGCTCCTTTCTCAAAATTGAAGAAAGGCGGGCGGCGGGGCAGCGGGGTGGGAGGACGTAGCTCAGTATAGAGTGCTCGTCTAGCAGGTGCAATCCCAGGATCGCAAAAAAGATCTGGAAGAAATTGATGGGTGGACTCAGAAAAGGAAGGACCGTTGATGCCTGTGCAAGAGTGGGGATGTTTCGGGCAGAGCCATGGGAAGCCCTGGGGGGTTTAAGCAGGGGAGTGGCAGCATCATATCTGTGCTCAACCACACCTGAGGCCTCGGTATGGAGGAAGGAGCAGAGGCAGGAGGCACAGAGGCAATGGGGAGGCTGGCACAGGCCACCCAGCCAGTCACTCAGTGAAGCTTCCTCAGAGCCCTTCCTCTGTGTCTGGCCCTGTGTAGGGGACTGAGGACCTACAGCCAAGGGGCCTGGCCTTCAGGGAGCTCCCAGCAGGGAGACAGGGGCAGCGTGAGCAGCCGCAGCATTCTGTGCAGACCTGGGCCTCTGCCCAAGACCCACTACTGCCCCTCCCCTTTCTCCTCTGCTCCCCCAAATGACAAATAGGGCTAATACCCTCCTTCCTTAGGCCCTGGCTATATCCAAGCATGTGGGGGCGGGGGGGGGTATCAGCCTGGTTGTTATGACAACATCTTCCCCTCTCCAGAGTCCCCACCTGTTGGGCAGAACTTCTAGTGCTGGGAATGAGCACCAAACCCAAGTCTCCTCCAGGGAGATGAAGGGCCCCAGCTTCTGCAGAGGAAAACACCTGGCTGGTGGCTGTGGCTGGTGGCTGTGGCTGGTGGCTGTGGCTGGTGGGCCTTCAGAAGCCAGCCAGGGGTAGCCACAGCTGTGTCAATTGTTGGTGTTTGGAATAACGGCTGTCCCAGTCTTTGGGGCCTCCTAGCTCTCACTGTCCTGACCTGGTTTGACCTCTCTGAAAACTCTTCCAGGACCATCAGGCCCAGGACAAGATCCTGGGTAGGTGGCAAACTCCTACAGTTATGGGTCCCTGAACACTGAGGGGCCGGGCCACCTGGTTTAAATCCCTGTTCTGCCTCTACCTGGCTCCATTGGTTTAGGCAGATTATTTAATCTGTGCATCAGTTTCCTAGTCTGTACACAGAGATGGTATTATGGAATGCCTTCTAGATCCTGGAGCCTGGGCTAAATAAATGCTTTCCTGGGTGAACTCATTAATTAGTAAGTGAAGAGCCACATGGCATCATCCGTAAGAGCACTTGGCACTGTGCCTAGAGATTCGAAGCACCCAGTACCACTCCTGTTATGCCCATTGTGCAGATGGGAAATGAAGACCCAGAAAAAGACCAAGCAGTGCCCAGAGTCTTTTTCTTTTTCTTTCTTCCTTTTTTTTTTGTACTGGGGATTGAACCTGGGGTGCTTAACCACTGAGCCACCTCCCCAGGCCTTTTTAATATTTTATTTAGAGACAGGGTCTCGTTGAGTTGCTGAGGCTGGCTTTGAACTTGCAATCCTCCTGCCTCAGCCTCCCAAGCCGCTGGGATTACAGGCGTGCACCACCGCACCCAGATTGCAGAATCTTAATACCAGAGCTGGGGCTAGATCCTGAGGCTCTGGCCCCAGCCCAGCCCACTTTGGACCACCACAGAGGATTGAGTTGGGGTATAGTATTGGAAGGAGGGTGTGGCCTAGTCAGGGTCAATACATGGGGTCATGCTGGCTCGAGTTTCCCCTGGCACATGTGCCTCCTCAGGCCCACTGAGAGCACCTGGGCTTCGGGATGGGTGGATCCATGCACAGGATGGTTGTGCTCCATGAACGAGTGAGTGATGGGGTGAGAGGGGGAAGGTGGGTGTTAGGGGGGTCTCAGACTCAAAGGATGGGGCTGAGTTTTCAGGGAGTGGGAGTCAGAGGCAGCAGGAAAGACAGAGGGCATCTGTGAGAAGAATTTCTGCCGAGATTGGATAAACATGAGTGCAGGGTCAGGCAGATCCTGAGAGAAAAGTCTGGCCTTGGTGTCCATCCCAGAGCCTCTACCTCTGAGCCAAGGAGCAGTGGCAGGACATCCCTCTGCCATAACCTGGCCTTACCGAGCTTCCTCATCACCTGTCCCTCCACTGTATCTCCAGCCAGAGGGCTGTTCAGCCAGTAGCAAAGGGCTAAGACCACCTTCCCTGCAGTATGACATGGTGTGGACTTAGGAGGTCACACACATGTGGCAGCACAGCCCTGTCCTGCACATGAGCTCTGCAGGACAATGGAAAGAGCATCCGAGAGTTACCCAAGCTGAAGTCCCTTTCTTTTCTCTCTCTCTCTCTCTCTCTCTCTCTCTCTCTCTCTCACACACACACACACACACACACACACACACACACGCACGTGGACCTTTCTTTAATTTTACCTCCTAAATAATCTCAAATAAAAACTCCTTTACCCATCCAACCCTGACCCACAATGGGGCCCTTCTCCTGCACCCCACCAGTCCACCTCCCAGCAGCCTCCTGGGCATCCTTAGTTCAGCACCCTCAGCTCCGTCTCTGCTGGGCTTGCAGGCCCCCAGCCAGGTTCCTGAGGACTCCCCAGCCTGCTCACACAGGGCAGTGTCTGAGGCTGCCATGGCTGAGGAGAGAGAGGCAGAGGGCAGCCTGGCTGCCCTGAGAGTGGACAGGACTCACCCCTACACACCCGTGCCCACCTGCAACTCTGGGCACACCCATCAAGAAATGCTGATCTGATGGGAAGAAAAGAAAAGCCCAGCCTCCTGGCTTGGCTCTGCTCCTATCAGGTGCCCAAGTTCACTGCAGCCAGACCACTTCTTATAGAGCCCTTGGCTGGAGGTCCCCAGGCTCCCAGGGAGTGTGAACGCAGGCCGTGGTCAGACACCCGGCGCCGCCGCTCCAGGGCGGTTCCCTGCGTTGGGTGCGTCTCTGGGGCTGCTGCTATTCCCAGTCCCTCCCGCTTTCTTTCTCTGCTTCTCTCTTGCTGCCAGTAGCCATAGCCCAGGCCCTGCCCAGTCTGTCCAGCCATCTGCACTCTGCTAAGGGACAGAGTCCCAACTCCAGCCAGCGCCAGCCCAGCTGGCTGTGGGCCTTGGGCCTCTGGGGCGCCTCCCCCAGCCTCAGCCCCTCAGCCAGCCGCTGCCGTTGGAGGCTCTGAAGGCTCCACTCCCCCTTCTCCCACCAGGTTTTCTACACCAACTGCAGCTGCGTGAGCGGGCGTGGTCTGGTGCTTGCCGGCTCCTGCGATTCGGCCTGCAGCCACCTGGTGCTGCCCTTCATTCTCCTGGTCAGCCTGGGGGCGGCGCTGGCCAGCCTCACCCACACCCCCTCCTTCATGCTCATTCTAAGGTGAAGGCAGAGGCAGGGTGGGGGGTGTACCAAGAGGCCCCTCGCCACAGTGGGAAGCTCAGGGACTGGCCCCAGTTCTACAGAAAGTGTGTGGGGTGGGGAACAGGACTGGGGTCCCAGCAGAGCCAAGCCCCTCCTCGCACCAGGGGAGGGGACGCCGTCCCCAAGGCCCTGGCCTGGCCTCCCCCAAGTGAGGCATCACTCAGTAAGGAGGAGGCGGACTCCACTTGACCCTGACCACAGTGGGTGAGCCACAAGGGCTGCACCCAGGAGACCAAACTGCAAAAGTGAGGCCCATGACCCTGAGGCCCCGCCAAGGTCACAAGCAGATAGCGCCCACCACAGATCCAGCCCATGCCCAGTACTGCCTCTTGGTCCAAGATCTTCCTGGCCTTTGTCCTGACAGTGCCCTCCAGGCCTGACAGATTGTCACCTGAGTCCAAAGTCGAGGTCCCCCAGGGTAGAGGCTGGGATGAGGAGACCTTGGAGCAAGATCATTCCAACTCCTCCTTCTGTTGGGATTATTTTATTCACTATCTATTTTGTAGAAAATTAGAAAGGAATGAAGCCCCTCATAGATATTAGAAGACACAGGGATCCAGGAGGCAGGCAGGGGGCTGGCCTGGATGGCGGCAGAGAAGGGCATGGTGACCTTCATACAGCCGCTGGCCCTCACGTTGCCGTGTCCTTGCTTGTTAGGGGAGTGAAGAAAGAAGACAAGACTTTGGCTGTGGGGATCCAGTTCATGCTCCTGAGAGTTCTGGGTAAAGAGCCGGCTTGGGCCCTTTGGTGGTGGTGATGGGGACCCAGATGTCCCCTGTGTGCCAGACTGCAGGGGCACAGGTGCATGGGGGCAGCAGACCCAACCCAGGTGCAAGTAGAGGCCAGTCTGATGGGGGCTTCCTCTGATTTGTAGCAAAGGGGTGGGTTAGAGGCCCCCACCATGGCCCAGAGCCCCTGAAAGATTGTGAGGGGCCAGGGAATGCTGGATCTCTACTGTCCCCTGAGCATGTCCTCCCCTAGCCTGGATGCCCAGCCCTGTGATCCACGGCAGTGCCATTGATACCACCTGTGTGCACTGGGCCCTGAGCTGTGGGCGTCGAGCTGTTTGCCGCTATTATGACCATGACCTGCTCCGGAACCGGTGAGACTTGGGCCAGGGGATGTGGGTAAGGCGCTGGGAAGACCCTCAGAATCCCAGGCAGGACACCAGCAGGGAATGGAGGTCCCATTAAAATGTCCAGTGCAAACTCCCCAGTCCTGGGTGCGGGACATCGTTCCCTCTTGTATAGACGAGGAGAATCAGTAGCTGCCCAACTGTAAGAGAGATGAGGGTGGGGTTGGGGAAAAGCCCTGTCTGCCTTCACTGGGGCTCGGTCTACCCATCTGTACAATGGGGGCTTAAAGCAACCTGAAGGCTCCAAGGCCTCTGGTCTAGGGTGGATGTGGGGAGGACCTGCTGGCTTCTGCCCGGCCAAGGGCTCCCTCTGCAGAGCCTCCCTGCCTCCTCCAGGGTAGGGCCCACTGGGAGTCAGTGCCCCCCACCCCCAGCCTCAAGGTCTCTGATGGCACCATGAGTGGTATCAGCTGACTCCACTCAGCCCCAGCTCGAGGACATCTGAGCCCTGGACCTGGGGCTCCTGAGTCCAAGAGTCCCTTGTTTCTCCCCAGGTTCATTGGACTCCAGTTCTTCTTCAAAACGGGCTCCCTGGTCTGCTTTGCCTTGGTTTTGGCTATCCTGAGGCAGCAGAGCAAAGAGGCAGGGGACAAATCGACCACATCCAGCCCTGGCCTAGAGCAGCAACGGTTGATGTTAGGGCCAAAGAAGCAGCCAGAGGATTCCAGTGTGTGAGCTGTTCCCTGGCCTCACCTGTCCATGAGTGATGGTCAACAGAGGTACCTCCTCTGAGTCCTTTGGCCAAGATTGGGTGTCAGGAGCACTATGTTTCAATTCCAGCTCCTTCCCTAAATTGCTGTGTGACTTTGGATAAGCTACCGGCCCTCTCTGGGCCTTTGCTTATTGGAACCAAGAAGTTATTTGGGGGTTTGCTGTGTTGGCCACTTCTAAAGCAAGAGGGTCTTCCCTGTTCCTTCCCCTGCCAGACAGCTGACCTGGAACCAAACTTTCCTGGGTGGAAAGATTGCATATCTCTCCTGTGCCTGAGGGGAGGGAAATGGACCACAGTAGTCCAGGCTGCCCTCCACACCAGGCCACAGCCCAGCATCTTGAGTCCCAGGCACCTCCTCTGTCAGGTGGGAATGAGCTTGCCAGCTGCCAGGCTCATTTGGCTCTGACCATCTGTGTGGTCAAATGAACTCAGGTCTCCCCAGCCCCAGGCCACCTTCAAGACGTGTCCACTTGGCGCCCCCTGGAGGCCAAGACTGGTGCTGGCCTCGAAGGGAAGCCTGGTGGGGAGGAGGAAGCTGGCCTCACTCAAAGCCACTGGGCCTGGGGAGGGGAAGGGAGCCTTAGCTGAGGGGGAGACTCACTCTCTAGCTCAGGAAGTTCCAGCCCTTATCCTCAGAGGGCCACCGTTTAGGGGTGAGGCTTAGCCCTTGCCCCAGGGGCCCTGGTGTGCAGAGGGAGACCCCTCCCCACATGTGGGTACATTCTAACTTCCAACACACACTCAGTCCTGCTCACAGCTCTTTCTGCACTGCGGAGGTCTCACACATTGACCAGGGGCCACTTTTGTGACTTTTGTGAATAGAATCGTAGTTCCCCCCGTTTCTTGCCTTGTTCCTGAGTCTGTATCACTGAGGTTGTACAATGTCTGATTCAGTGACACGTCAAGGGCAGCATCTGGTTCTCTGGGATGCCTGGATCGTGTGACACGGGACCTGTCACCCTAGGAGTAGTAGTGCCCAGCTCTGCACACAGCTACCCTGCAGCACTCGGGTCTGAACCACGGGATCCTTTGCTCTATCAGGCTTATGTGGGTTTCTGGCCTGGCTTATCTGGCCTGGATATTTCCCAGGAGGAAGAAAGGTCTCCTGATCTGCTCCCAGCCCCTCTGTTGCCACCACACCCCTGACCTGGCTGGGACCTGCTGCTGGGGAGGCAGAGACTCCCACACCCCTGGATGCCCAGCCCTGGGCAGGGGGCTGGGGAGAAGCTGGGGTTGGGAACATGTGGCTCAGGTCCTCTGAACAGCTCCCCATGCCAGGGCTCCGGGGCCTTCCCATGAGAAAGGAGAAGAAGGAAGGATAGATGTTCTCAGGCCTGCTTTATTCTACTGATTGACTGTAAATGTTTAACAAATAGCAGGATCTGCATTTATCAATGCCAATAATTTCAAAGTCTCCTCCAATCAGATGAGGCCTTTAGTGTGTTTATATTTCTTCTCCTTCCCTCCTGTTGCCCAAATTTCACAGAAATAATCTGAAATTATAGATACAGCTTATTATTAAATTTGTTCATGCATAATGTCTCTTTTATTACAAAAATCCCTTCTTATAAACTGCATTAGAGGTCTGCAACAACCACATTATTTCCAGTTATTTAGATTTAAGTTTGACTAGGTTCAGTGCACACCATTATTTTTGGTATATTGCATCTTTCTCTCTCTTTATATTCTGGTCTAATTTCCGTTTGGCTGGGTTATACCCTCTAGTAATGGTTTCAGAAATGATTCAAATAAAGTCATGAGGCTGTGCGAGTCCTCACCTATCCACATTGTCATTCGCGTTTTCCAGAGGAAGAAACTGGCTCAGAAAGACCACAAGACCACACAGAAAAAATAGGGTGGAGTCAGGGTTGCATCCAGATTTTTGGGAACTGAAGCTAATACAATTTGGGGAGACCTCTTTAATAAAAAGAGCTCAAAATTATGAATACAGGTTGAGGATCCCTTATCCAAAATGCTTGAGACCAGAAGTCTTTCAGATTTGGGATTGTTTTTAGATTTTGTAATATTTGCATACATAATGAGATATCTTAGGGATGGGATCCTAATTTAAACATAAAATTCATTTTTGTTTAATAGACACCTCATCTACATAGCCTGCAGGGTAGTTTGCTTTTTGTTTTTTGTTTGGTTTGCTTTTTGTACCATGAATTGAACTCAGGGGCACTTAACCATTAGTGAGGCATGACCTCACCAATGTGTCTCTGTGACACATCTCCAGGTCTTTTTGTTTTTCATTTTGACACAGGGTTTCCCTAAGTTGCTGAGGACCTTGCTAAGTATCTTCTGGGATTGGCCTTGAACTGATGATCCTGCTGCCTCAAGCTCCAGAATTGCTGGGATTACAGGCGTGCCCCACTGTACCCACTTAGCCTGTGTTTTGATGGTAATCTATGATCTAAGGTCAGGTATGAACCTTTCCACTCGTACTACTACATTAGCTCTCAGAAAGCTTCGAATTTGGGGACATTTCAGCTTTTGGATTTTTGGATTAGGGATGCTGAACCTGAACAAAATTAGGTAAGAAAGTGAATATTTACCCAGAATGAGAAAAAAAATTCTACACACGATTCAGAAAAATAGTTATTAACTGTCATGCATACCTCTAAAATACATTTCCACAGACCAGCTTCTGGCTTTGCACATTTCCAACCTTGTATCTCCCATTTCTCCTCCTCTCCCCATATATTTTCAAGTCACAAGAAACAAAACACATTTATACCACGATATGACACCTTAATGTCATATTGCCAAGTGAGGTGGACAATTGGTAGGGTTATTCTTAGAAGCCATTCTTATGCAGAGATGGCTACAGTGATTTACCTGTACACAGAACTATCTGAGATCCACATAAACATATTTCAAAGGACCTGAATTCAATCTACCCCCAACATGACTCCCCCCCTTGGCCAGATCCCAGAAATGTCAATGGTCCCTTGTGTCATTGAGACACAGGGACATTGGAGTGGAAAGAAATTTGCAATCTGGATTGTGGTCAGAGTGTCTTACCTGTGTAAATTTCACAAAAATATGACAATATGAGTCATTGGTGAGGCATGACCTGGACCTAGGGCAAGGCTTTTATGCCCCAAATTCATGAACCTCACAGGGAGCCCAACTCTGGGTTGAACTGGAGCTGGAGGAGATGACTCTTGTCTCTATGGTTGAAGTCTTCCAGACTGGTAAGGGTGAAGAGGCTCAGGAGTCACTGAAAGGGGGACATGGGACCAATAACCAAGGGATGGAACAGAGAAGGGCTGGAGGTCCCTTAGGGATCAGTCCTCCCCAGTATAGTCTGTGGCCAATGAGGAGCCACAGTATGGGCTGGGGTTGTGGCTCAGTGGTAGAGTGCTCGCCTAGCATGCATGGGTTCGATCCTCAGCACCACATAAAAATAAAATAAAGATATTGTGTCTGCCTAAAACTAAAAAATAAACCTAAAATAATATTTAACAACAACAAAAAAAGAGCCACAATATTTGCTTACGCTCCTGTCCCTGCTCCCGGAGTGGGAGGAGAGGACATTAAGTCTTACTGTTGGAGTCTACTGGTGGGAAAATCCAGCAGAAGACTGGGCGGGGACTGACGTCCTGATGCCTGGCCCCGAGTTCCTTTACTTGCACATGTATGCCGGGAAGTTCCAAGTCAGGCAGACGCCACTCAGGAGCTGGGAGCCAGGAATCATGATTGGCACACTAATGAGTGAGGAGAGAGCAGCCCTTCCAAGGCCTGGACGTGTGGAATTCTTCCCCTGACCGTGCTGCTTTGCCATTTCCTCCGCCCACATGGCCTGCTCCATCCCCGCCCCTGGGCTTGTCTCTGTCCCTGCTTCATGAACTCCTACCCAACCTTCCAGGCCCAGTTCAAAGTCACCACCTCCAGAGAGGCATGGGATAGGCAATGGATGGGTCGGGGAAGGGGAACAGGTAGCAATCACCTTTGGGATCTGATTAAAGACATGGACTCTTCATAATTAAACACACACACACACACACACACATACAAACAAATACAATTGCGTGTGCAATTTCAGAGGTTGAGCGAGACCCCTGCAAATCCAGGGTCTCAGGTCCAGACCCTTCATGGAATGTGAAGATGAGAGCTGTAAAGACACTCAGATTTAGGTGCAGACCTTAGTCTCCTGGAGTGACTTGAACAAATGACAACTCCTCTGCACTCAGTTTTTTTCATCTGCAAAGTAAGGTTGATCAGGATGTCTGCCCCCACATAATGTGCAAACCAGATAAAACAATGCTCCTCCGGCTCCCAGGAGGGGCACCTGATGATCAGGGTTGTCAGACTCCTCCCCTTCCCCTGCGCCTGGAAGGATTTAATGAGCCCACGGAGCAGAGAGTGGGAGGGGGTGGAGGAGACGGGGAGGAGGCACACTCCCTTTGCCCTGCCCTGGCCACAGCTCTGCTTGTCCCCTAATCTCTCCTCCGCTGTCAGCCAGGGCTCAGCCTTCCCAGTCTTATCTCTTGCCACAGCCAGCTTGGGACAGCTTTTCTCCACTAGATTTACATTTTTATTGATTTTCTTTCTCCCTTCCAGCTCAGTCCCTTCCTTCTCCTTCCCCTTTGGCTATAAAGTGGGCTTGCCCTGGGAAGCACAAGTTCTGAGACTGGCTGAGGAGTGGTGATCCTAGGATGGATCCGTTCATTCATCCGCCTCCCCAACCAGCCAGCACGACCTGCGTGTCAGCTCTGTGCCCCTCTGCTGGGACACAACCATGTGTCAGATAGAGTAGATTCTCAGGAAACTCCTCCTGGAAGCAGACAGCTGACAAATAGTAACAAAAGCACAAGCAGTTACACAGGAAAGGGGAGAAGAGGAAGCCGTGGCTCTCCCTGGGTGCAACTGGGAAGACTTCCTGGAGGAGGTTATAGCAGGGCTGGCCCTAAAGATTCAGCAGGGCTTCCCCAGCTGGAGAAGATGGGGGTAGACAGCAGAAACAACAGGGATGAGCAAAGACACAGTAATGTGTGTCTGGAATATGGTGGCAAGAGCAATGCGGCTGGCGTGTACTGCTTGAGCAGCACAATCAGGAAAGAGTGGAGAGGCAGCAGGGACCAAACCTTGAGGTCCAGCTTTGGATGCTTTCCTGAGGGCAAGGAGGAGCCCTTGAAGCATTGATTGATGGATTATTCCATTGACTGGTTATTTTAAGCAGGGAGTGACAAGACAAAGATTTGTATTTTAGAAAGGCACTATGGGGGCTTTGAGTGGAAGAAAGAAGCTGGAAGCCAGGAACTCAGGCAGGAGACTGGAGCAATGATCCAGAGAAGTAGGAGGCTTTGATCCAGGTCAGGAGCAGCATTCTGGAAATGGGACCTCTACGCTGAGCCTTGAAAGCTGAGAAGGAGCGCACCCAGTGGAGAAGGTGGGAAGGGTGTCTAGACCAAAGACACAGCAGAGATAAAGTCTCAACACACAGAAAGCTCCTGGCAGCCTGGGGAAATTTCCACTGGTGCTGTAGGGCTGCAGCCTGGTCTGAGAGAGAGGGCGTGGTGAGGGTGAGGCTCAAGAAGCCGGTCAGGACAGACCCCCAGGGCCTCTATTCCCTGAACCTGGACGCAGGTGGAGAGGAAAAGGTGCCTCACCACTTGTACAGATGTAGATGTGCTGGGCAGAGAGCCCTAGTCAGGGCTGCCCCTTTCTCAAAGCAAACCTCCCCATGTTTACAACACTTCTCAGGTCCCCTGGAGAGGAAGGCAAAAAGAGATTATTCTTCCTATGGATTAGATAAAGAAACTAAGGCCCAGAAAGTGCAGGAACCTGACCAAGGTCATTCAAGAGCTTAGGTATCCATCCCCCTTTCAATTTCCCATGTTGTTTGCAGTAAGCCAGCTTGACCCCGAATCACTACACGATGGATAGGTAGATAGAGTAGCAGCTAACTAATCTGGTTGGAATGGAAAAAAGGAGGAGGGTTGGACGCATCAGAGAAAGAGACCACTTTTTCATGTCCTATTTCTTCAACCTTCATGCTGGGACATCCCAGATGATAAAACAGGTGCCCTCTGCTTTGGAAACCAAGAGACAGGAGGGCAAATCCCAGCTCTGCCACTTATTAGGTGTCACTCCACTTCACTAAGCTTTGTTTTTTCCATCCAGAAGGGAGAGAAAAAAACTCCAATCCATCAGAATTGTGAGAATTGAATGTGACAGTGTAGCACTGCAGTAGTCATCTGTTGCTGAGTAACAAATTACGCCCCCCCCCAAAAAAAATTAGCAGCTTAAAACAACCGGTATTTATTAATCTCACATAATTCCAAGGGTCAAAAACCCACAAATGGATTGATTGGGTGGGGCTGGCTCAGAATCACTACTAATGCTGCCGTCAAGTGTCAGTGGGGGTTGTATTCATCTGAAGGCTCGACTAGGGTTGCAGGATCCTCCTCCCAGCCCACTCTGTTCCTTGCTGGCAGTTGGCCAGACTGCTACTCCTTCTTACATAGGCCTCTAAATAAGGTCACTCCTCACACAGAAACTAACTTCCCCTAGAATGAATGACTTGGGAAAGAAGCTGGGCATGGTGGCACTCGCTTGTAATCCCAGGAGCTTGGGAGGCTGAGGCAGGAGAATCGTGAGTTCAAAGCCAGCCTCAGCAACAGTAAGGCACTAAGCAACTCAGTGAGACCCTGTCTCTAAATAAAATACTAAATAGGGCCAAGGATGTGACTTAGTGGCCGAGTGCCCTTGAGTTTAATCCTTAATACCCACCCCCCCACACACACACACACAAAGAGAATGTGTGCTACCAAGATGTAAGCATGGTATCTTCTATCATCTAGTCCTGGATGTGACACACTGTAACATTTGCCATATTCTGTCACACATGCTAACTCTGGTATAATGTGGGAGAAGAAAGCAAAGTGTGTGAATGCCAGGAGATGTGGATCATGGGGAGCCTTTGGGAGATGACTCCCACGAGGACCTAGAATAATGCCCCGCACAGGAGGTCCTTATGCATTAGTAGTTACTATTACTCTCACAATGATCCCAGCCAGGCTCGGAAGACAAGATTTGGGTATGAGAAGATGAGAAAACTTGACAAAGCAGGATGCAACTTGAATTAGGCAACGCTCAGTTGCATGATAGAAGAGGGTGTGCTGGCCAATGAGAGCAATGGGAGACGACTTCCTGGCAGAAGCAGAGAGGAGGGGAGGGCCATCCAGAGAGAAGACGGAAGGAGAGTGCCTCAGCTATTGTTGGTTGCCTTCCTGTTATCCTTCACCTTTTCTTCCCTGCAGTAGTAAGGTGCCTAGCCACAGAGGTAACCAAGCCAGAAAAGAAGTGTCTTCCCTTTTGCCAGCAAGTGGGCTAAGAGTAGACATGTGACTCATCTTGGCCAATGAGATGTGAGGGCTCCCTGATTGGGAAAGCACTCCTCCTGGGTGAGTGAGTGGCTAAGAGGGGAACGAACAGACCCTTTTAGCTACCAGACCCCTCGGGAGGACAGAGCACTGATGAACATTAGTCTTCTTGTGATCATAAGAGCTATCTCCCCCAAGCTTAGGACCCGAAACTCTCAGGTCATCAGAGACATTGTTGAATCACCAGCCCATCCCTGGCACCATCTTCTTCTGGCCTCTTGTTAAGGAAACAAGAAGCTTATGCCTAAGGCAGGTGGTCCCTTCTTTGCATCCTAACTGATTCAGGGAGCCAAGTACCCCTGCTCCCTCTGGACTTTTTCCTTTTTTTCTGAAGAAGGTAGTTAGATGTTTTAGATGGGAAGGCCCCTGGGCAGGAAGGCAGAAGTCCTTGGTCTAACCCTAGGTCTGCCTCTGAGCTGCTCTGTTATCTTGAGCAAGTCCCTGCCCCGACTGGGCCTCCAATAATTATAGCTAATATTTATTGACTGCTTGCTGTGTGCCAAGCCCTCTAACAGCTTCCCTTGCATTATCTCGTTTATCCTCACATCAACTCTATTGTGCTGGTGTTACTATTCTTTTTATTTTAGGGATAAGGAAACAAAGACCCAAGTGACAAGAGGCTACACAGCAAGTCGGAGCTGGATCTCTGCATTGCAAAGCCAGGCTGATCTCCCCCAGGTTCAGGCTCCCACCCATCCTGCTGTGCTGCCTAGCAGCAAAAGGAAGTCTCTAGAAGGGCTGACCTCTAAGGGCCTCTCCAGTTCAAATATTCTTTGATTTGCTGTCCCATTTCTAGTTAGATGATCAACAAGCCAGCTTATCCTAGAGAAGAAAGCAATGAGGGCTGTCTTTAGCCATCTGAAAAGCTGGCATGTGAGTGGGAGATTAGACTTGCACAGGGTAGCTCAGAGGATATGAACTGGACCAGTGTGGGAACATTATAGGGAGAGAGTCAACTTATATAAGGGAGAACCCTCCAGCTGCCACTTGAGCTATGCCCAGATGTAATGACTTCCTTTTCATGGAGGTTATACAAGCCTGTGTTTGATAAATCTTTGTCAGAAGTCTGGCATTGAGTGGAGATGGAAATGAGTGGCTTAAGACTTGTGGTGGGAATTAAATGGGATAACATGAGAATACTCCTAGCACTGTAATTGACACAGATAAAGGGGGTCAATGAACTGCTGGGGTCTACCCCCCCCCCCCGATTTGACTCTGAAATTCTTGGACTTTAAGATTCTCTAATACGGATTTTTAGTTCTCTGACTCTAACCTTCTGCAGTTTTATAATTTCAAGACACTGATTCTTCCCTGCTAAAATGTTATGGTTTTAAAACTTTTCCATGATTGTGTGGTTCAAAATGCTGAGAAGTCTATGATTTTTATAATTTAATACTCTCTAGTTTTAACAATTTAATATTCAATAAAGTGTCTCTCACCAGCTTCAGAAACATGAGGGAGTTGCCTCAAATGCTATGTTTCAGTGGCCTGGGCACTTATCGGGTTCCTCCCTCTGCCCACTATATTCTCTGCCCTCCATCTCCCACCCCAGTCTCAGGCTCTGCACTCTAACCACTGTCCTCCTAGATCCCTGCCCCACCCCCACTCTGCTGTCTCTCAAGTCACAAGTGGGTGCAGTCAGTCCCTGTATGCTGGTAGTCATTCATTAAACAAGAGCCTTTGCTATAACCAACTTTGTCCTTATTCCAAAGGGGATAGGAGAGAATGAGAAGACTAGGTCATGCTTCTCAAAGGGCCTAAGATCTAGGGACCCAGATCTCTTGCTTTTCTTTAAACCCAACTCAAACTCACCTCTACCAGGAAGAATTCCATGATTGACACTAAATGTCTAATAGCAATAACTTCAATCATAATGTGAAGCTCTGAGCTATTCCCCTATTTATGTGGGAGACTTCCCCTTCTTCCAAGAGTTATGTCTCCTCAGCCTGGTTGGGAATTTTCCAAAGGAAGACCACGTCTTCCCTATCAGGACGGAAGATCCATGTAGACATAGGCCATGGCTCCCTAACGATACACTTGGGTTAGAGTTAGAGGTTGAATGACGTTCCTCCACCAGATCAATAAATTCCCAAAGGCAAGTTTATGTCTCTGTCATTAAACTGAGGATTGCATAAGAGCAGAAGCCACGTGTTCTCTGAAGATAGGGAAGTTCCCAAGGTCAAAGACTGTGCCTCCACTCTCAGATGGAGTCAGATGTCTCCCTGGCAACAAGAAATCTAGGGCCTCCCCTCTCTGTAGATTCCTCAGTCCCTCCTCAGGGCTCTGGCCACAAAAGGGATGTTTTCCTTAACAGAAAGAGAGATAAATTTAAAAGGGCAGATTCAGGAAGGACAGTAGAAACTCCAGCCTCTCCCAACATGTCCAGACCCTCTCTTGGTCTGTCCTGAGCCCTCTCCTAGAAGCTGCCAACCCTATGCTGGGAGTGGTCCTCTCCCAGCTCCTCCCAGGAACGCAGAGCAAGTGGAGATGTCAGCACCTTGGACAGCGCCCAACCCATTACAGGACTTGAAGCCAGCGGAAGCGAAGCTCTCCAACTGCCTCAGCCTCTGGGTGATGGATTTCCTCATTTCTCAATTTGATTAAAGCCCAGTAGATAACCAGAGCACCTTGTTCCTTTCTCTTCTCCCTTCCTGATGAACATAATTAACTCCGTTAGGCTGGGAATACTTGCCCTTAAATACTGCCTGCCCAGCCCCCACCCAGGCATGAATCAGTAACACAGCCAGACACTTTGAAACCTCACGTTTCTTCCTGGGGGATGGAGGTGGAAGAGAAAGCTCTCCAGAGATAGAGGCTGTGATTGGAGACTGAAATGTGGTGATTGGGTAAAGAGACCCTGTTGAGAGCCACAGTTTAGTCAGAATGACGCCTAGCACCCCATAGACACAGAAATTCCACTTGAAGCTCAGAAATGTTTTGGGATTTGCCCAAGGCCATCCAGCAAGGCAACTATAGAATACTCTTAAAAGTAAAGAGTGAATTCTTATCTTAATCAAGTATTAGGGTGCCCTGTCAGAAAAGAGAAGGATAACATCAATCAGCAAGACTGTATTGAGTTTCTTAGTGTACTCAGCTCTCTGCCAGGCACCTTGTCAGGGATATGAAGAATAAGACATGAACTCTGCTCTCAAGGCGCCACGTCTTTGATGTGCTGTTTCTACTTGGAACTCCTTCCAATGCACCCGTGGATCCAAATACTGCTGTTCAACCAAGACCCACACCAAATATTTCTCCTACCAGGAAAGTATCCATTACCTCATTCAGATGCCACTTCTTCCTCCTCTGAATCTCAAACTTTATTTTTGTTTCTATTTTATAGTATTTAGCACCATTTGTTTTATCTGATCCTATACTCTTCTATAAGGATAATGAGGGGTGTGTGTGTGCGTGTGTGTGTGTGTGTGTGTGTGTATGAGAATGTATCTTATTCAGCTTCAAATTCCTCAGAATATTCAATACAAGATTTGACATGTTAGAGTATCTCATTAAATATTGAATGGATGAATAAATGGATGGATGATGAGTATTCGATGCATAAGTGACTAGGACACAGAGAAGATTGCAGGATAAACATGTGGATGGGAGAGTGGGTTTATAGATGGGTTAATGGGTGACTGGATGGACAGATAAAGTGCATGATTGGATAGGAGGATATAAAATGGATGAAAAGTAAGTGGATTTGTAGATGGATAGTTTGATGGATAGGTGACTGCCTGTATGAGTGAATCTTTGGACAGATGAATCAAATGGTGTGTACCGGATAGTAGGGACAGTAAATGGATGGATTGATGTATATTTGGACAGTAGTGTGGGTGAATAAGTAGATAAATAATTGTGTTGTTGTATGGGAAGAAAAATTTCAACGTAGGTCAAGAGAGGAAATATGGAGGAGGAAACATGGAGATGTTCCTAATGTCACAAATGTCAATTTCAAGGAGACTATCCATTGCTAGTGCCAGAAAAAAATGACCATGGGGGTTTTCTGACTGGGTGCTTAAGCTGAATCAGAAGTGTTAAGTGCTAAACACCCCCCCCAAAAAAATCTCAGGCAATTTCAGGCTGTATCAATATAAATCCAATAACGAGATAAAAAAGACTGATGGTCCTGCTCTGACCTGAGCTATTCATACTGCATTAGAGTCTGATCTGCTCTCGGAATCTAGAGAGGTGATGCTATCCATAGCTTATGCACACAGGAAAAAGTAGGGAGTGATTTAGAAAGTCCACACATGGGGAAATGTTAAAGAACCAGGAGTGTTCATCCTGGAGAAGCACAAACTCAGGGGTGGTGATCACCGTGTCCCTGGATCTGGAGGGCAGATGAGGTCTGATGCCCTGAGTTCTCAGCTGGTTTCCAGAGGAATCCACAAGACTGGAACCATAGCCCCACATGAGACAGGACTCTCTCCCAGGTGGAGCTATCACTGAGGGAAGGCCAACCCAGGGGAATGAGCTCCCCACTCCTGAGGGTGCACGAGAGGGGCCTGGCATCTTCCTTCAAGAAAGCTGCAAAGTGGACACTTGCTTGGCGTGGAAAGTCAAGAAAGGTCTCTTCCTACACTAAAATTTAGTCCTCTGTTCATCTCTTCATTCTTCAGTAAATTAGGTTCATCTGTGTCCTGTGCTCAGACTGGAGTACAGGGAGATTCTGTCCAGAGCTGGGGTTTGGGGGGATCTGAGAGACAGATAGGGTCTCATGGGATACTCTCTATACATAGGACTGGGGCTGGAGGAATGAGGAGTTGCTGGAAATGTCCTTTCATACACCCAAATGACTCGGGGGTGTGGGAGGTGGAGAATCAGGGCCGTCCAGAGCCAATCCCTGACCCAGATTCCATGTAATTAATGCATCTACGTCACTGATGTGCTGGCTCTTGATCAATGCCATCTCCCCAACCCCAGCCTAGCTCTCTGGTATGAGAAGATTAAATCAATTAGGAGGAGGAGGAGATCTGGCTGGCGCTGGTTGGGGACAGAGGATAATTCACTTACATAACAGGGGATTGAGGTTTGGATTCCACCCTCAAGTAATGGGGGTGGGTTTTAGACCCCATGCCTTTGCAGGGGAACTCCCAGGGCTAAGAGCAAATGCAGAGGGGGAAAGGGAGGAAAGGGGAAGGGGGAGCAGTGACCCCAGACCCATCTTCCACCTTCCTGCTGAGATCTAATCCCCTATTCTCTGGGCTGGAAGAGGGCCAAATTGAAAAATTACTATCCTTCTCCAAATGAGGGTGCCCCAGCCACCAGAATCCTTCAACAAAACCAACCTAGCCACACCTCTCTCCTTAGCCTGGCATTCAAAGCCCTGTAACCTCTCTAGCTGCATCTTCTGCCACCGAAGGGTGGGGGCAGGCAGAGAAGAAGCCACCTTGTCCTGGTACCCTCTGTGCCAGGAGGTACAGAGAGAAACAGACCCATTCCTCCAGGAGCGCTGGCTGTGCCAAGTGGTACAGCAGAGTCCTGTGTGGGAAGGGCATGGAGTGGGCACAGTGAGGGACCCAGGGCCAGCTCCAGAAGGCTTCCCAGAGGAGGCAGCGCCAGAACTCACTGAGTCGTAAAGGAAGGGTTGATTAGTGGGGTTCATCAGGCTGACCTGGCTGTGGAGGGAACAGCATGTTCAAAGGCATGGCAGTGAGACAGCTTGGCACACATTCAGAGAACTATGAACAGTTCTTGTGGACAGAGCCTAGAGGATGAGCAGGGATGGGGAGATGAGGCAGGAGAGTAGCCAGGTCCAGGTCTCACTTTGATGGCATATGCCAAGAAAGGCCTGAGGCAAGGATCCCAGAGTCCCTGATCAACCCACACTTCCTGAGCACGGACAGCATGCCAGGCCCTGTGATGGAACTGGTGGAGGGAAACAGGAGAACAGAGATGAACCCAAATCAGGCTGGGCCCCAGGGGTTCTAGAATATTCTCCCTTATCAAGTTGGTTAGGCCTGAGATACCCAGACCAGCAGTCTTGGTCAAAGGAGAGCGGACCTCCAGGAACGTGCTCCTCACCCCTTCTGAAGACCTGCTTGGGGTGAGCAAGGGCCTGGTGAACAAAACACATGAGAGGTAATGACAGGGTGGACTGGTATCCTGGGGATGGGGGCCAGGCATGGACAGAAAGGTGTGCAGGGGAGAGCTCACCAGGACCCACTGGATGCAAAGGAAGAGAGCCGGGGAAGGGTCTTGGATGATCCTTAGAATTTTTATCTTGGACCAGGCCAATGTCCTCTGGGAAACATGAGAGCACCGAGGTCAGAGGGCATGGAGATGAATTATGTTTCTGGCTGCTCAGATCACAGGGTTCATCAGCTGAGGCCCAGGAACCTGAGGAGTCCAGCGGACTGCACACCAGGCCTTCAGGAGCCCCCCCCCCCCACCAGGCGGAAGCCCTCCTTTCACTCCTTCCTGTGATTCACTCTTTCCTCCAGCAGCTCCTCCCCT